TATAAGCAACATATATCCTCCTTTATTATTAACATGTTACTGAGAATTAAAAAGAACATTGTAATTATGTAAATGCCTACAAAACGATACTGATAATGTGCAAATATATGCAGATTTCCGTATTGCCTCTGGACCTCTTATAAAACATTGTCCGTATTTTCTTTGAAAGTAGAAATAAAGAGACGCTTCTCATCAATTTCCCAAAAGAATCCATTCCTACTTTCCAACGGGGTAGGAGAAACTTTTCTATTCTTTATTTCGTTATTTTCTCTCTGTCTCTTTCTCTCTCACTCTGTTTTCACAATTCTATCTAAGGGTTCTAGCCAATTTTTTTTTACTTAAGCACTTTAAAGGAGACAGTTTAGCGGCTCAACTAATTTCAAGGTGAATAGTCATTAGTCGACGGCGTCCCTTTTTCTTTCCTTTTTTATAAATTTAATGACTATGCTTTTAACTTTTCAAACTCTTTTAAAGTTGAATGAAAATATTTATTTTTAGGAGATTAGAAGCGAGGAAAAGGAGAAAAAGATAGCGAGGGAAGAAAGAAGATGAGCGTAATTTTATTTCAATTATTAAGATTATTTTCGTAAATATCTGTTTCGGGTTTTCTTAAAATAAATAATAAATAAAAGAAAACAAATCAGTGAACAATCTCTATAATACAATACTTGTAGATATATATAAATATTATTAGTATACAGTATATATATATATATATATATATAAATTTATATATATATACCTTATACATTTATATTAGTATATAATATAGTAGTAGAAAAATTTTCTTGCAAGTATCATCAGAAATTGGAGTAATGGATATATATATATATATATATATATATATATATATAGCTATCTATCTGTCTATCTATCTATCTATCTATCTATTCATGCAACTAACCCTTTCAACTGCTATTATTAACACATTGTTTACATATTAATATATGTGTCATTTTGTCTATCTGTCTCTTTCCTCCTCTCTTCCCCGGCCGCCTCAGGCCCCTTCTTCCCTTCTCTCTCTCTCTCTCTCTCTCTCGCATAAACATACAACAAAAGTATATTAAAAAAAGTTCAAGAAACAAAACAGAAAAAGAGGAAAAAGAAGAAGAAGAAAAGAAAGAAAACAAACCTTTTGCTGAAATATATCTGTTGAATATTTTTCAAAACAAAGTAGTACTTTTCTTTTATTTATATTGTTTAAGCAGTGGCCAGTGCCTTTGCGGCTAGCGCAGCAACTATATATCTGATAGCGAGTTTTATAGTCTTATTATAATTAGAACTTCTTATGCAAACTCCGCCCCCCCGCGAATAGCGTGACATAAAACTGACAAATTTCTAACTTTTCCTGGCGGATTGAAATGGAAAATAGAGTTAATTTAGACTTGAGATTCTTTCAGGGTCACTTTGCTGTGTGTTGTTTTAATCTAAGGAAATGAGATTCTTCATTCTTAATTGAATAGTTTTATTTCATTTTCTTTAATTGTTTAACACATTTTCCATAATAAAAAAAAAGAAAAATTTCCGAAATACTTGGCTGTTTCTTTATTCTTTTATAATTAATTATTAAAATCTAGCATTAGACTTCCATTGAAGATATTAGAACAACACCACACCATCTTATCGCGTCTTTTACTGCATAGAAACCTGAAAAGACTGATGCCTTGACGGCCCAAACACAAGATGTTACATTCTATCCCAACTCGATATCCACTCCTTCGCATTCATTAAAGAAGATTTTCAAGTGGAGTTGTGTAAAATGTTTAAAGTTGGAAAAACATTGTATTTTAAGTTTAAAGATTAGAAACGTAGAGTGAACGAGAGAGAGAGAGAGAGAGAATTGATAAATGGGTGAGTGAATGAGTGAGCAAATTATCTAGTTTTTTGGGGTGTAAAGTCTTTAAAGACTGTTGGAAAAAAAGCAAAAATTTCTTTCTCAACCTTATCTCCTCTTTCCCTTTCATTTAGCCTTTTATTATTCTTAACAATAAAACAGACTAGATAGGTAAATCTCGTAACTTCTCTACTAGCTTATTCTTCTTTCTCTTTCCATTCTCCTCCTTTACAGTCGGTAAAAAAGAAATCTCGATTAAAAAGATAGAACAAAATGAATGTATAAATAATTTATGCATTATATGAATTTTGTATTAGTTCAAATCAGTGTCAAAAGGGATTTACTTTATAATTAAGATTATTTGATTTTTGCTCTTCTTTTCATCTCCTTAACATTCATAACGTTATAATTACTCTGTCCATCGACTCCTTCGTGCAAAATAGTTTCTCTTATACACTGTAGATGTCTATAATGTCGAGCGGAAGTGAGTTGACTGACCAAAAAGACAAATTCAAGCAAAGTAAGATATTACTAACAGCTTAGAAACGATACAATGACTAGCGTCAATAAACTAGACAAAAAAGGAAAAAAGTAATGACGGTGACACGTGGTAGAAAGCTATTTATAGCATTTGCACTATGAATAGTGGACTGTGATCAAGGAATGTTACAGGAATGTCGACCTTATCGCAAGAACACAAACTTTATTTAAAAAATTTCAACAAAACCTAGGAGAAAAAATTTCGGCCATGTTCTGAAAAACTGATGAAATTTTGATATTAATTTAGTAATTAATTGGGTATCCTTTATTCTGAATTACAAGGCGACATCTTCTTTTTATTGATTTATATAAATTTTGTATATAATCATTAGAAATTGAAAAATATTCATCTTTTATGATCAATTTTAAATCATCAATATTTTCTTTAGCACTGCCCAAAGATTCTCTATGATGTTTAGCAATTCTTTTTTTTCTGTTTCCTGGTTTGGTCAATGGCTTTATCTTTGCCACAAAACTTTTCAAGCCATATTCAAGCAGAAGATAGGTTTACCTTGTCAGCCATTGTCCATGAAGAATATGCTTGTCTGGCAGTATAGAAAGGATTTTTCTTCTGAATAATGACCAGACTTCTTTTATCTGAGTCTGATATCTTTTTGGGATGACCAGATCTGGGTTTGTCTTCCATGGAAGAACATTCCATTGTCTTCTTCAGGTTGTACCGTACAGTACTACGGGCAATTTGAAGTTGCTTTGAAATTTTTACTTGACTCAGCCCTTGTTTCTTTAAGCAGACAATTTTTTCCCTCATTTCAAGGCTTATCTTCCCCATTTTAAAACGTTCTTAAATTTTTTTGTTCTCTGATTGTGTAACACTTCTCAGTAAATGTCATAAAAAATTATTAATTAGGTTTCTGTCTGATTATTATGTAATTTTTTGGCAGGAACAGGGAACATGGCAGAAACATCTTATTGGGAGTGTAGTATTTCTTTCGTTTTCATTCTCTAACAAGCCAATGGCAAAATATTATACTCATAATAGGATTCCACTTGAAACTGGCAACGCCGGCATTCCGGGGAGGTGCAGTTGTTATTGAACCGGGATTTAACGGCGTTGATGGGCAAAATACCTAACTATATCGAGGACACCGACGTCCTTAATCATTTCCTTCTGGCTCAACCTTATTCTGGTGAAGGGACAGCGTCGCGCACTTTCTAGGGAAAAATCTAAGATTGGAGAGACCGGCGGCATAGGCAAGACCGCAGAAAGAAGCCTTAGCTTTCAATACTATTCTTAATTGAGGCGTAGTCGAATAGTATAAAAAAGAGAATTAGATTCAGCTTTTGAGTAAATAGAAAAAGGATGAATATACATTTATTGTTTTATATTACTTTGAAGGATTAAATCATCCCAACGATTGAGTCGTAAGTTTTTATTCTACACGACCTTTTTGCTTATCTACTTTTCAAAGTATGGTCGGCTAAGATATTTTACTGTTCAGGCTTAGTAGCTTTTATATTTTTACTGTGAATGCTTGCTGTTAATACCTTTCAAAGTAATTATGAAAGTTCAAAAAAATCCTCTTCTAATTCAAACAGAGACTGTAATTACAGATATATTTTTATCGTAAATCCCCCTGATAAGATAAGAGTATCTCAACTAGTTACATCAGTACATTACATTGGAGAAGTTTTTGAGGAAGTAATGACTTAGCAAAGTTATTCGTTTAAATAATGTATAGTATACATATTATCAGTATATTAGAAGCGTGCATCACCAAAGTGACAAGATTTAATAAATGTCACATTGTATCGGATAATTTCTTCTCATCATTAAACAGAAAGCTAAAATATACTGTCATTGGGTTTTTTCCGTTTCCTAAAGCAAAAATTCTAATATTACTTTTGAATGAAAGAAGTTTTAAGTACAAAAGCTAAGGCCTATGCAAAGCAGATTTTAATTTCGTAAAAGTTTTCACAAAAGGCCTGTACAAGATTTATACTTTCTCACCGAATCGATCAGATCACGATGCGCTAGCATTGATTAATATTCATGTATGTCAAATATCATATTCAAGATACCATACAGGAAGAAAAAAAAATACGATATCTGGGTGTGTTCAATGTTATCAGACGACTTCAGAGGAGATTGATATACACCTATTTAAATTAATTCATAGAAGCTTTCGTCTCTAAATGTTTGCTTTTATAAACAAGAAAATCAACAATTTGACTGAAGATATTCCCTACCCAGACGAAGGTAGATAATACATTTTTTTTTATTGTTAAAGATAAGCTTCAAACTACTTTTAGAAGTATCAATATATGGATTAGTCTAATTTTTCTTTTAGTTATTTTTCTATATTTTCATTTATCGATCCATGTTTCGATCTGACAGCTCGTTTTATGCAAAATTAAATATTTGTAACTGATGTCTGTTTAACGTAATGTTTAACATTGCACTTTGACAGCTATGAAGTAGTGCTAATTGTTTTTGAACGAAGGATATACTGTATAAAAGCTAATGCTATATTCTATAACTTGGAGATTAAATTTGAAGATCTGCTTGTAAACATTGTATTTTTGGAGATTTTTTGCAGAAGTCTTTTGCGGCAGCTGCGATTCAGAGTTTTCCCACGTCAATTTATTGATTAGCGTATATTTGTTCGTTGCCAAGTGAATAGAGGTAGAAAGACGGTGAAAAAATGTATCGTAAAAAGATTTTAATTGTGCTAATGAGCCTTTTATTTGGAATTGTGACCATTTTAAGACTGGTCACATATCGTACAAATGGTCAAATATATGAGACTGCAGTGTCCTGGACTTCTGTATCAGAGAACTGTGTGCTTAAACATGTCTCGCGTAGAATAAATAAGGGTGATATAAGTATCACAATGATGGACTTTTTAACAGCTAGTATGGCATTTGATAATTGCAGAAATAGTACTGAGTTTTTAAACAAGCCTCCATCCGAAAAATCTACGAAATATACTATTGTTATGCCTACATATCATAGAGAAAAGCTTATTACGAGAGCAGTTCAGCACTATTCAACATTCAGCAATGTCTCTAAAATTATTGTTGCGTGGTTTAATGAACAAAAGATGCCAACTGCGAAAGATATCGGCAAATATCTCTCTCCGAAGAGTAAAGTTAACTTGGAATTTTATTGGATGCCAAATTTTGTCAGGCTAAGATATTATCCATATCCAACAATTAATACGGAAGCTACATTGAATGTCGATGATGATATTCTGATAAATGAAAATTCAGCACTGAAAGCTTTTGTAGAATGGAAGGTAAATGTTTCTATTATTCTATATAAAAATTGTAGTTTTTAAAGTGTATCTTCTTTACCTTTATCGAAAAGTAACTGCCGAGTAGATAGTATATTCTATAATATTTGCAAAAGGCGTTGTTAGCAGCTCCCTTTCTATATTGAAAAGAACATTCTTTAACAAAATTCTTTATCATTTCTTTTGCAGAAGGAAAAAAATTTTATGTACGGCTTTGTGGCGAGGAGCCACAAAGTAATAGGGAGAAATCTGTACGAATACGTTATGGATGAAACTGTTCCCTACTCTTTTCTTCTTGCCAACAATATATTTATGCATAGGAAATACACAAGAATATATCAAGATTATACTAGGCAATGGGAAAACACCATAGATAGGTGGCAATCGTGTGAGGATATCGCTCTGAGTTTTATGTTTGCGGACTTGAATGGTAGCAAAGATAGTGCAATTAAGGTGAAAGGCTCCTATAAGGATATCAGAGACATCGGTGCATATAAAGGATTATCGAAGAGAAAAGGACATCACTTTCAGAGATCTTACTGCTTAAATCGTTACGCTGAACGTTATAAAGAATTTCCATTGAGGAAGCACTCTCGTATTATAAAATAATCCTCGACAAGACATTTCTATTTCTAATTTGTTAAAATTTTTCATTGTTGAGAGTATTGAAGGATGAATATATCTTTTGTATCAGTATCTCTCTCTCTCTCTCTCGCTCTCTCTCTCTTGCCCGTTTTATTCTCTAAATACAACAAAAAGTTTAAATGTTGAAAGACAATCGACTCTTTAAAAATGTTCTGATTTTAGTAATTCGATTTCCCACCTCTTTTATTCAATTTACTTGAAAATCTTTGGCAAGAAAGACTTGGAAAATAAACTACAACAAGATAATATAACTACTCCAACGCCTCTTCCTCCAATTTCGAATGATGCGTTTGATTTTATTCGGTTATCCCTGTAATCAACAAGAATCTTTATTGACTGTAAATTAGAAAGATTAGCTCTTCTGCTAGATTTTTCATGAGGAATATTGAAAAAAATGGGCAATTAATCCGTGTAAAACAGTACCTGAATATATAGGATAAAGGGTATAGACAGTATTCTGAATTTTATTAGGTTACCTGAGTAGAATCTGTCTATTCGATTAAACAGAAATAGCGTTAACATTTTGTACAAAATAGTAAACGGGAGAATAAATAAATAATCCAGTAAATCAATAGGGAAAAACAGAAGGATTTTCGCTGTTAGGCTACAAATTGTAAAATTATGCGCATACTTTGACAGCAGATGGCTTTGCTATCGGGGCGTCTCTACCTTGGCAAAATGGAACAGGGAGAAAACGCACAGGTGTGAGGATAATTAAATTCATGAAAAGAACTCCGAGAGGATAGACGTAAATTTCTTTTTTTTAATTCTGTTTTTTTTAATCAGATATTATTATTTATCGTAATTTTGATAGCATCATTTTAAAATATTGTCAGTCATCCATTCAATTCGCTCATATTCCTCTCCGTCGCCATTGAAGCAAGTGATGGAGAGCGATAATATAGTTAAAATCTGAAAGAAATCTTATGATAGAATGCTTTCTTCAAAAATGATACAAAGTATCAATCACAGGCAGTAGTATTCTTTAGTTTTAAAATACTAATCATTAATTACAAGTTTATAATTACTTTTGCTTGGCTACTGAATAGAGCGTACCTACTTCTATTTTATGTTTTATTGTGTAGTCGATGAATGAGTAGCGAACGTAGGTTATAGCTATTTCCACCGACTTTAGTAATACAACGCGTTAAAGTTTAAGGTATAAAGTGGACGACAGGTATGTTGGAACACCTCAAATTTTTATAAACTTGCAATAAACTTGCAATTTTATATAGATTTCTTTAAAACAGCAGTTAGGTACGCTTTTACATATTTTTTTTTATAGAAATTACCATAGTTTTCCGATTTTTTTTCTTATTTGGCCGCGCAACATGTTTTTTGCAACAATGTTCAATTGTTCAAATTTTATCTATTTTTGTATGTGCCAACCCTCTCTTTCTATACACTTGCTTATTCTACGGCCCATTCCCTCGTATAAACTTGGCAACAAGAGTGGATTTCTGTTAATAACCTCATAGGAGCATTTCTTAATCTTTTCCCACAGTTCATCCTCTGTCTCGAACTGTGGACCATCATAGACCATTGTCTTGGTCAGATGCCACATGTTCTCGATTGGGCTGGGATCATTGGCCTATCAAAATTTACGGTGTCCATATACATGTCGTCCACTTTATACTAGTAAATATAGCAGTAATAATAAGTAATAACGTATCGAAATGATAAAGGGTAATGAAATATGATTAGGTTTAAAATATATATAGACGTAACTTTAGGCGATGTACCCATCGACTATATATTATATACTTATTCACTATTTCTTTCTTTCTCTCATTCTTTCATTCATTCTTTCACTATATTCTATTGGCTGAAGGTTTAATAAAAGCCCAATTGTGTACAATGCTATTTAAATTCCATTTATATTATATATTGCTATATTGACATACAATATATAGTATTGATAAGAAAACAAAGTAAATGTAGATTGGTTATATAATCAATACTTATGGTAATTCTTCTCTTTATATCTTTTTTATACTCTTCTTCTTCATCGTCTTCTTTCTCATTTCCTAATTTTGATTGATAGTTCAAGTCATCTTTCTATTTTACACCCCACCCCACCCTGCCCCACCCCACCTTGTTCCACCCCACCTTGTTCCACCCCACCCATAACTAAATATAACTTGTTACTATTTAGAAGTAAAAAAGGAAAGGAATTATTAAGCTATATAGAAAGAAGAAGAGAAAGAGAAATCCTATAATCCTAAAAGAAAAGGAAAAATTCCGAATAAAACATAAAATTACGGTGTATTAATTTTTGTTTTTATTTGATTATTTAATCAATTTTTAGAGCAAATGGTTTGCTCGTCACTGCCACAGTAAAAAAAATCATTATATTACTTTACAGTATGCAATATGTACAAAAGCTGAGAAGTTATTATACTAATTACTACTTTGGTTTTACAAACTGATTGCTCATTGTTGTTTTTACACATATAGTAAAAACAATCACTGTATAATTCTTAAATTGCGTACTTGCTTTATAATTCTTGATAGTGTATTAACAACAGCAATTATATACATCTATCTCTCCCTCTCTCTCTTTTTCGCTTACGCATTCTCTTTATTTTTGTACCTCTACATCAATTCATCTTTGTGCCTTCTCTGCATCTTTTTCTCCCATTCTACAACTACAACGGACAGGAAGGATTATTAAACGCCTCTGCGAATAGTTTTGAAAATTTACCAAGAAAAACAGTAGTAGTTGCTTTTGCGTAGTTATTGCAGTTTTTTCATTAACGAATCAAATAAAGAAAGATTCTATTTTGTCTCTATTTTGCAGAAAGAAAAACATTTTATGTATGGTTTTATATCAAGGAGTCACAATGTGATTGGTAGAAATCTGTACGAGTATGTTATGAAAGAGACTGTACCTTATTCGTTCCTTCTTGCCAACAACATATTTCTTCATCGGAGATTTTACGCTCTCTACGGGAATTATATTAAGGAATGGAAGACTTCAATAGATAGATGGCAGGGTTGCGAAGACATTGCGATGAGCTTTATGATAGCCGACTTGAATAAGGGCAACACGAGCGCAATAAAGGTCAAAGGAAAGCTTAAAGATATACGAGAAAGTGGAAAGTATAAAGGTTTATCGAAAAGAAAAGGCCATCATTTTCAAAGATCTTATTGCCTAAACAGATTTTCTGAACGCTACGCAAACTTTCCTCTAATAAAACATTCAAAAATACTTGTGTAGTAATGTAAATTCGTTCATACTCTATGAACATCCTAACTGTTATTCTAAATTGATATCGAAATTTTATGTTTTATCACAAAATCATTAAATATATTCACAGTATATATAATTTAATTCATATATGCATAATTTAAACAGTGCTCTTTTATACATATTGAGAGCCCTGCGTTCATTTAGCTGATTGATCATAATGTATAATAGAAACAAAATGTATAAACATAACGTAATACAGGCAATTGAAAGTGAGAGTCAGATAGTTAAACTCTCAAAATCTGTCAAGGAGAAATTTTATAATATTTAAATATTAAAGTTTTAAGTATGTAATAAAATAGATAGTATCAATAATCTTCTAATTTTGAGATTTCTCTAAATTGTCTAATAAAACTTTTGGTTTTTTTCAAAGTACCAAAAAAAAGATTAATAAAGTACTCTAAAGGAAATATAGCAAGTTAGTAAGTTACTCTACTTGCTATTACTGATTTCGATGCGCACGGAATCGTTCACAGACTCGTTCTCGTATAAGTTATTCATTTAGGTATTGTCAATAAAACCTAAACGTTCTTCTTAAATATTTCTTTAAATCTTTACCTATTGAGACAAAAGTAGAGCAGCTAAATACGTCTATTAAGCCTATTGTAAAATACACTGTGTAAGGTATCGGGAAGAAAAAATATTGATCAGGCGTGTTCAACCCAACCCATATGAGTTATGGGAAAGCTAAAATATTCCACTTCAATAGGCGATAAATACGGTTGTCTCGTAATAAACGCCTATCTCTTATCTATATAAAAAAGGCAGTCGTGACTCGCCTATATGGGCGGGAGATTATGTATTTACACGACCGAACTATGCACAAACAAATGTATTTCTCTACAGCAAAAACAATCCATTTACAACTTAAAATACTTAAAAATTGAATAAACGAAGGCGTTTTGATTTAGTTTATCAGTGTAAGCATATCGCCATCAGTCATTCGATAGGAGAATGATAAAGCTTATACTCTTTATTATTCGTTTTTTCTTAACTCATTAATTAACCAATTAACAATAATTTTTTAGTTAAATATGTCAATAAGAATAAATTAAAATAACATTTCAGATTTGGTCCTTCGGAGAGTACTTTATGGTGCTTTTTCAAAGGAAAAGTGTCGTATTGTTCCGCGAATCTATTCAAACAATACGATCTCTGAAATAGATGACTCTCTCTCTCTTTGATAATCCTTGATAGGCTTGCTTTGGAGCGCCCTCGCGGATATCTCGTATTTTTACGAAACATGGCCGAAATTTTCTCTCCACTTTGTTTTTGAAAATTTTAAAATAAAAAATACTGTTAAAGCAGGAAAAATTTTTTAATGAATTCTATCTATAAATTCGGTTGTATATATCTCTTATCCTTCATTCTAAACAAAAAAAGGTAATTAAGCAAGTCCTATCAGTTAAATAATTCACTTTTTCCACTCTGAGAACGTTTATTGGGACTGTATATACAGAAAATCATCGTATCAATAACTATCAGTGAGTAGTGATATTCTTTTAACTACTTACGATAGAAGATTTCGTCCAACTCCAGTAAAACTTAATTATTCGATAAATCAATAGAGAAACTCGCCAGTATAATACAATAACAGTAGTCAAATGATAACTCTGCTTAACTGATTGATTAAAGGAAAAAGTAAAAATGATAGTGCGAATACAATACACAATGTAAATGATTGTATAAATGCAATTCACGTAAAACGACTTATCACCTGCCAATATTTGAAAGCTTTAAAAGCAGCTTCTTCAGCTATAAGAATATCATCGTTAACGTTCAAGACCGCCTCCGTATCGATTGTAGGATAAGGATAATATCTCAATCTCATATAATTATCCATCCAGTAAAATTCCAAGTTGACTTTACTCTTTTTAGACATGTAATTCTGTTTCACGTCCAGTTTCGAAGGCAATTGTTCTTCATTGAACCAAACAATGATGATCTTTGAAACATTACTAAATTGAGAATAATGACGAACCGATCGTTTAATGAGCGAGAAGCCATACAGTAATACTTAGAAATCTGTACGAATACGTTATGGATGAAACTGTTCCCTACTCTTTTCTTCTTGCCAACAATATATTTATGCATAGATAATAGACTAGAACACATCAAGATTACTTTAAGCAATGGGAAAACACCATAGATAGGTGGCAATCGTGTAAGGATATCGCTCTGAGTTTTATGTTTGCGGACTTGAATGGTAGCAAAGATAGTGCAATTAAGGTGAAAGGCTCCTATAAGGATATCAGAGACATCGGTGCATATAAAGGATTATCGAAGGGAAAAGGACATCTCTGTCTCTGTCTCTGTCTCTCTCTCTATTAGATGACTAGCTCATTTTATTCTCTAGATACAACAAAAAGTTTAAATGTTGAAAGACAATCGACTCTTTAAAAATGTTCTGATTTTAGTAATTCGATTTCCCACCTCTTTTATTCAATTTACTTGAAAATCTTTGGCAAGAAAGACTTGGAAAATAAACTACAACAAGATAATATAACTACTCCAACGCCTCTTCCTCCAATTTCGAATGATGCGTTTGATTTTATTCGGTTATCCCTGTAATCAACAAGAATCTTTATTGACTATAAATTAGAAAGATTAGCTCTTCTGCTAGATTTTTCATGAGGAATATTGAAAAAAAATGGGAAAATAATCCGTTTAAAACAGTCCCTGTGTATTAATTTATAGGATAAAGTGTATATACAATATTTTGAATTTTATTAGGTTACCTGAGTTCAATTAAACAGAAATAGCGTTAACATTTTGAACGAAATAGTAAACGGGAGAATAAATAAATAATCCAGTAAATCAATAGGGAACAGTGTTTTCGCTGTTAGGCTACATAATGTAAAATAATGCATATACTTCGACTGCAGATGGCTTTGCTATCGGGGCGTCTCTACCTTGGTAAAATGGAATAGGGAAAAAACGCACAGGTGTGAGGATAATTAAATTCAGGAAAAGAACCCCGAGAGGATAGACGTAAGTTTCTTTTTTTTAATTCTGTTTTTTTTAATCAGATATTATAATTTATTGTAATTTTGATAGCATCATTTTAAAATATTGTCAGTCATCCATTCATTTCGCTCATGTTCCTCTCCGTCGCCATTGAAGCAAGTGATGGAGAGCGATAATACAGTTAAATTTGAAAGAAATATTATGATAGAATACTTTCTTCCGAAATAATACAAAGTGTCAAGCACAGACAGTAATATTCTTTATTAATACTAATAACTAATTACAAATTTCTAATCACTTTTGCTTTGCTACTTAATAGCACATAGTACCTTTGTCTATCTTACGTTATATTGTATACTTTTTCACTGTTTCTTTCTCTTTCTCTCTTTGTTTCATTCATTCTTTCGTTATATTCTATTGGCTGTAGATTTAGTAGATGCCCAATTGTGTACAATGCTATTTAAAGGATCCATTTATAATATATATATATATATATATATATATACTGTATATACTGTATATACTATACCCCTTTATATCTTTTTATGCTCTTCTTCTTCATCATCTTCTTTCTGATTTCCTAGTTCTGATTGTTCAAGTCATCCTTCTGTTCTACAAACCCCACTACACCCTACCCCACCCTATCCATGACTAAATATAACTTGTAATAATTTAGAAGCAAAAAAGGGAAGGAATTATTAAGCTATATAAAAAGACATAAAGAAGATTAAATAGTGGGGTGAAAGAAGAAGAGAAAGAGAAATCCTATAATCCTAAAAGAAAAGGAAAAATTCCGAATAAAACATAAAATTACGGTGCATTAATTTTTGTTTTTATTTGATTATTTAATCAATTTTTAGAGAAAATAGTTCGCTCTGCACTCTTTATGCGAACAATTTGGCATAAAAACTATATATAGAAACACTGCCAAAGTAAAAAAAATCATCATATTACTTTACAGTATGCAGTTCGTATAAAAGCTTAAAAAGTGGTTATAGTAATTACTAGTTTAGTTTTACAAACTGATTATTGATTATTGTTTTTACGCATATAGTATAAACAATCACTGTATAATTCTTAAATTGTATACTTGCATCAAAATTCTTGATAGTGTATCAACAACAGCAATTATACAGTAATCCGCATAAATTTTGGAACATCCTAAATTTTGATAAGCTAAATTTAAAATAACGGTAAAAAGTGTTTTTTGTCTAAATTTATATAGATAAAGAGTAATATTCAAGTAATATTGGAAAAAAAATTCTATGATACAATCCTCCAGAACAGGACAATAGGGGTCGTCCAAAGAGACTTACAGAGAGAGACATAGGCAGGGTGAACATTACATACATTCTCCAGCAAGACAATGCTGGGTGCCATACTGCTAGGACAACTAAAAGAGCCCTTCAGATGAATAGCATCCACCCTCTTGATTTGCCAGCAAAGAGCCCTGACCTCAACCCAATTGAGAATATGTGGCACCTCACCAAAAAACTTGTTTATGATGATCCACAATTCGAATTTGAGGAGGAATTTTGGAAGAAAACCCAAAAGTGTTGTTATGAGGTTGTAAAAAGGCAACCCGACTTGTTGCCAAATTTATACAGAGGAATGGGGTCTAGAGTCAGCAAGTGTTTAGAAAAAGAGGGTGGTCACATTGAAAAATAGAAAAAACATGAACATTAAACCCCCTGTTCCAATTATTATGCGGCGCGGCCAAATAAGAAAAAAAAATCAATAAAACAATACATAATATCAAACCAGCAAACTATATAAATACTTACTCCGATTCTATTTATAAGACATTTATAAATAAATCTACGTTTAATCTAGATATTTAAGATAGAAAAAAAAAGAAAAATCTGTTATCTTGTTCAGCCTATAAAAATTTATGATGTTCCAATATTTATGCAGACTATTTTACACTTTATACATCTCTCTCTTTTTCGAAAACGCACTCTCCTTATTTTTGTATCTCTACACCAATTCATCTTTATGCCTTCTCTGCGTCTTTTTCTCCCATTCTACAACTACAGTGGACAGGAAGGATTATTAAACGCCTCTGCGAATAGTTTTGAAAATTTACCAAGAAAAGAAAACAAACGCATCCATAAAGGTAACGAGACGAAAAGCTGAAATTCAAATAATCTCTAGTAGTAAACATTATTTAAAGTCAATTAAAACAAGCTTTTATTTAGACTTTTAGAGTAGATAATGTCAATTGGAATTAGACGAAACCCAGTAGTACTATTTGGAGTTATAATAGCTGCCTTTTTTCTATTATCGTTCGCATATGTAACGTTGTCTCCTCAATTAAAGACACGTTTGGGTTTGGGAAGTGACGCTGTTCCGTTGACAGATGAAGAAGAGTTTAGGAGTTCCAATATAATTTATAGAACATATACTTATTTGGAAGAGCAACGTTTAGAAAGTGTACCGCGATTTGTCAAATTTTCGGCAGACTCCAAGTATACTATAGTTATACCGACATATCATCGCACTAATCTAATTAGAAGAGCCGTTAAGCACTACGCAAATTTCAAGAATATATCGAAGATAATAATTATTTGGTTCAATGAGGAGAGGATACCTACAGGAAACGAAATTTCTAAATATGTTAATAAGGATAATAAAGTTATTATTGAAGTTTATTGGATGCCCAACTTGATAAGATTAAGATATTTTCCATATCCTACAATCGATACGGAAGCGGTCTTGAACGTTGACGATGATATTCTTATAGACGAAGGTGCTGTCAGCAGAGCATTTCAACATTGGAAGGTGAGCAAAGCAGGCCGGAAAGAGTGTACTAGTTTGACATTAATTTTTAAGAAATTGATAAAGGGAATAGGACTTTTAGTAGTTGCTTTTGCGTAGTTATTGCAGTTTTTTCATTAACGAATCAAATAAAGAAAGATTCTATTTTGTCTCTATTTTGCAGAAAGAAAAACATTTTATGTATGGTTTTATATCAAGGAGTCACAATGTGATTGGTAGAAATCTGTACGAGTATGTTATGAAAGAGACTGTACCTTATTCGTTCCTTCTTGCCAACAACATATTTCTTCATCGGAGATTTTACGCTCTCTACGGGAATTATATTAAGGAATGGAAGACTTCAATAGATAGATGGCAGGGTTGCGAAGACATTGCGATGAGCTTTATGATAGCCGACTTGAATAAGGGCAACACGAGCGCAATAAAGGTCAAAGGAAAGCTTAAAGATATACGAGAAAGTGGAAAGTATAAAGGTTTATCGAAAAGAAAAGGCCATCATTTTCAAAGATCTTATTGCCTAAACAGATTTTCTGAACGCTACGCAAACTTTCCTCTAATAAAACATTCAAAAATACTTGTGTAGTAATGTAAATTCGTTCATACTCTATGAACATCCTAACTGTTATTCTAAATTGATATCGAAATTTTATGTTTTATCACAAAATCATTAAATATATTCACAGTATATATAATTTAATTCATATATGCATAATTTAAACAGTGCTCTTTTATACATATTGAGAGCCCTGCGTTCATTTAGCTGATTGATCATAATGTATAATAGAAACAAAATGTATAAACATAACGTAATACAGGCAATTGAAAGTGAGAGTCAGATAGTTAAACTCTCAAAATCTGTCAAGGAGAAATTTTATAATATTTAAATATTAAAGTTTTAAGTATGTAATCAAAAATGCAGTATATAGATTCAATAACTCTTTAATTTTGAGGTTTCTCGAAATTATCTATTTAAAACTTCCCGTTTTTTTTTAAAGTATTGATAAAAGATTAATTAAGTACTTTAAAGAAACAAGAGATAGCAAGTTAGTAAGTTATTCTACTTGCTATTATTAATTTCTATGCGTACGACTCATTCCAGATTCGTTCTCGATTAACTTATTCATTCAAGTATCGTCAATAAAGCTTAAACGTTCTTCTTAAATAGCTCTTTCAATCTTTACCGATTAGGACAAAGTAGAGTACTACCGAATTCTGTTTAGCGACGAGCCGCTAAACACGTCTAATTAGCCTATTGTAAAATACACTGTTCTAGATAATGCGGACAATGAACATTGAACAGGCGTGTTCAACCCAACCCATAGGAGATATGGGAAATCTACAATATTTTACTTCAACAGGCAGTAAATACAGCCGCCTCGTGATAAACGCCTATCTGTTATCTACTTAAAAAAAAAGCAGTCGTGACTCGCCGATATGAGCGGGAGTTTATGTATTTGCACGACCAAATTACGTGGGATACGACAGAAAACGTCCCCAAATTCATGATTTAACCCTAACCCTAACCTAGCCCTTGTCTCTCCTTAACCTTTTTGATTGCTCCTAACCCTTAGATGGAACCCCCCTAACTATAAATCCAAAGCCACTTTACCCCTCCTAACCATTTTTCAATCCGAAATGTTGCTTTCAAAAATCTCATTTGGGGACGTTTTCTGTCGGCCCCAATTAGGTGAAATTATTCATAAACAAGTGTATTTCTAAACAGCAAAACAAACTACTTACAACTTACTGATATCTCTGTAATTTTTCCCCTTACTTTAACTTTGCCGACGTTTATCGTTATTCAAATCGCCTATAATTCACCAATACAATTAATCGTTTTATAGAAGGTGACAAACGAAAGAGAGAAAGAGTCAAGTTTAAGGAAAATATATGAAGCCGGAAAATTTATTATTTAAGGAAGACGTCTTGATTTAGCTTATCAGTGTAAGCATATCGCCAGCAGTCATACGATAGGAGAATAATAAACGTTTTATTAAAATCGGCAAGCATAAAAGACATAGCAATATCTTCGCATCCTTGCCACTTATCAATAATAGTTCTCCAGGTCAAAGTAAATCTTTGATAGAGGTGATAAAAATTTCTATTAAGAGAAAAACGTTGCTGGCGAGTAGTAATGAATAAGGTACAGTCTCGCTCATGACATATCCGTAAAGATTTCGACCAATCACCTTGTATTCTCTTGAAATAAAACCCTACATGAATGATTTCCTCTTCTGTATAAGAAATAAATTTGTTATTATCTTAAGTAAAAGCTGATGAGAGTGCAAATGTATATCTATGTATATATTTCATCATTGATTGTTAACAGCCAAATCTGAAATGTGCAAAATCAATCAGTAGCATTCACACCGATAGCACATTTTAATTTATTTTTGAGTAAGGTTAGAATGTTTGAGGCCTATACAGTGTTTGCATTATTAGATTGAATATGCTGTCCACCTGCATATATGTGTAAATTATGAATTTAGTCAAATTTGACGTTATTTTACCTTTTAATTGTAAATATCATGGTAAAGTATATAGAGAAAATAAATCGTGTTCAAATAGAACACCTGATTTTAATTGCAATACTTGTTTCTCACATGAATTAAATCGTAAAACGGTTGGCCGATAATCGTAAATATTCCAGATTTGCTAGCGCTAGTGCTATTCACCTATTAGTCATTTAGGTGTCAATGTTTAGTTTCTACTTTTTTTACTATAACGTACCTAGTTAACCTTCGATAACGTAGCTCTCACAGAGGGGGCGCCCTTTGTCAGAGTACCATTATTGAGCTTCGCAAAGTCTCACAGATGACGCTGTTGGTTTGTTGTTAAACTCTACCTTGTGGCAGAGTGTAGAGGGGGCGAGCGGTTAATTCAGATGAAAATATGAGAAAAGTAAAAGTGTAATGTGAATAATTAAAAGTATGTCATGTAGTTTCCGTTAAGATGATGGTCCGCCAAATTTTTCTGCATAATTGAACAGCATAGAAGAGTCAGTTAATTACAGACAGATTTACGCCAGTTTGATGTTGGAATTTGCTTCAGGCATCCAGTTTAATAACTTGTTTATTATGCAAATGAAAAAATCAGTGCGATAACTCTTTTCGTTTTTCAAAGCAGACGAGAATTTAATGAATTGATAATGATTTATACGTCTAAGCAGTAGAATATATACAGTATATGGTAGAATTTTGATAAATATCACTATTTACTAGAGTAAGAGGATGTAGCGACAAAGTCATTCTGCAATTATATGACGATATACTGTATATAAGCGTTAAATATTACAGCGATTTTATACCTTACACTACATAATGTCATTGCCTGTTTCATCTTTTAAATGTCTTAGAAAAAGCCCTTGGACGCCCCTTTTTGTCCTCTTTTTTTTTCTTATTCTTTTAATCTCACTCTCTGTCTCTCTGTCTCTCTCTCCCCCTCTCTCTCTCACTTTGTAAAGAGTAAACGTTTTCTACCATGTCTGACTGATAGATGGAGAGATGGATAGATTCCCTTCATCTGCAAATTTCCCTTTTCCAATTACGACTTTGGGGAAAAATATTAAATATAGAAACTCTTAAATTTGTATTTATCAGATTTTATACATATTTCTTGGGATAGAATCAATATAGTCTTATTGCTTTTGACATGTTATTATAAAGGAGAATAATAATCATAATAATAGTAGACTCAACTGTATTCTTAGTTTGTTTGATCTCGTTAAATCTATGACTTACTATTTTAAAAGTTAAACAGCAATAGAGAATATTAATTCATAATCGAGAATTAAATGAATTAGGCGTCTAAACTAAGAGAAAAGTTAAAAGTTAGGAGATATTTTACTTATTTTTCCTATCATCTCTTAGATATATGTATAAAATGGAGGCATAGATTTCTGTACGCGTTACTATAATAGTTTATTAGAAAGTAGTTTATTGAAGACTTCCTTATCCTCATCTATATATCTATATATCTATTTATCTGCCTGTCTCTTTCTCTCTCTCTCTCTCTCTCTCTTTCTTTCTTTCTTTCTGCCTTTCATAAAGCATGACTGTGCTAAGGTGAAAATAGGCATAAAATATACCACACACGGTATATGGTTGAGATGCTCAAAGGCTATGAAGGCAGGTGTGCTAGGCGAACTCTAATCATTGACGTGTAGGTGCATGGCAGCACCTCGGAACGGCTTAAAATGTAATTCAATAAATCTTTATATTACATTCATTAACAAAATGAAAAAAAAAACGACATCATAGGCAAGACAGACAGACAGACAGACAGACTTATATATATATATATAGATGGATGGACAGATAAACATACCTACATAAATATAATATTTATATAGGCACATACGTGCACACCACATATTCTCAGTCTTCTACTGTTCGCTTTCTTTCACTCGTTCTTAGTGTCACTTCTTCCTTTCTCTTTTCTCTCTCTCTCTCTCTCTCTCTCTCTCTCACTCTCTCTCTCTCCTTCCCTCTCTCGCTCTCGCTCTCTCTTTCGCTTATTCTGCTGCTTCAAAATATAGCAACAGACGCCTCAAGGGCAGCATTACGAACAACGAAAGCTCATTAGACGCCGTCGAGTTTTTTCTCGTCAACAAACAAACAAACAAACATGGCGCCTGGAAAGCGGCAGATAAGGCTGTAGGCTGTTGAAGAGACGCACGATTGTTTTGATTGCGTATTAGTTTGGGTTATCGATCGGCAGCCATCTTTCTTCGTCAGTCGGCCAATGTCAAAAAAAATTGGCGGTTGACGAGCTAGACTGCCTTCATTAGACGCCGTTCTTTGACGGCTAACGATCGAGCGATTCGGGGCGGAAATCGAACAAATCGACGATCGTAGCTATGGCGAAGAGAATTTCGATTCTCGTTTACTGTTTTTCTTTTTAGTTTTCATTTTAAACACCTAAAAGAAGAAAAGAAAAAAAAGAGTAAAAAGAAAGAATAAGAATAAGAAGATGGGGAATGAAAGGGAAGAAAAAGAACAAAAAGTAAAGAGAGATATTTTATTTTATTTTTTTGTAGGAAAAAGAGACCAAATAATTAATCAATCTTCGCTAATGAGTTTACTCTATAGCTTTACATT